ACTTGTAACAATTACCCTGTAAAAAGAAGTGAAATTTTGCCAACTGCACCAGAAATCCCTCTGTTTGCACATCCTGATCTCAAATCCTTCTCTCCCTGACAATATGATGTTTATGGTAATCACCTTCCAGGGTTACTTGATACTTTTATTTATTAACTGTATATCCCTTAGTATAGCTTACTCTTGCCAATTAAAATAATTTATATTGAGGCCGGCCTCGATCCACCTTGGGAAGGAGAACCACGCCTGCTCCCGACCCAGCAGCCATCACCGGGAAGGTAGGCTGGCCCCGATCCACCGCGGGAAGGAGAACTACGCCTGCTCCCGACCCAGCAGCCATCGCTCAAGCGCTGGGAAGGTAGATGCGTGGGCACCCCTGAACCCCCATAATTCCCCCACACACACTCTCAGACCTCCTGACTGTGCAAGTCTTTGGACCCACTCTGCAAAGACAGAGGTGGTCATCAAGGGTATTTTTTCTGAGTTCTCAACTTTGAACATCTTTAAAGAAAGGGCGTGGGAAACCTGTAATAGAACGTTGCAGAGTTCAACCATTCAGAAGGATGGGGAACTCAGTCTGGGCCTTGCAGCCCGAGGTCAGTCAGCGTCATGGGGTTCAGCCATCAGCTAACTGAGATTAGGGGTCTTGCATCCTCACTCTGTCTGAGCCATTAAATTGTAAATATACTATATTGAAAAGTTTGTTCACTGCAGACATTCTGGACTGCTTCTTGATTTCAATTTAATTCAAATGATTTAAGGGTGATAGACTAGTGACTACCACAGGTGGTCATTGTCCAAGTTGTGCTTGATCTTAATGTGTTGCTGATTGTATCAGTTGGGGTAAAGCATTGCTGTTGATTTGATGAACTGTTTTCTCTGATGTTATGAAGATGAGAATGTCTGTGGGTCGTTAGAGACACAGATGCTAGGGTGCAACTATATCAGGAAGATTTGGGTGATAATCCAGAGATTAAACCAAGGACAGTCTGACAACAAAAATTAAAATGAGAAAACACTTAAGCAAGACACAAGGACAGACTTCCAGTTCACCAATGGCAAACAGTAGGGCAAATGAGGATGAAAAGGCTGATAGTGAACCACCAGGA